TGGGGGAGACGCCCCTGGGCCTCAGAGGCGGTGGCATTTGAGGTTTTGCCTGTCAGCTAACTGTTCTAGCTCAGTAGCTCGTATTTTAATGTGTCAGCTGCTTCTAAAATAAAGAGCTCATGGTAGTTGTAGCCTTAAATGTTGTTACAACTTAATTTAAAAGAAAGCAAAGCTTTAGGTTAAGCGGTTAAAGTTACTGTTTATCTCTTGTTGTCCTAGTTTCTGTTCAAAGCATGTTACTGCTTTGTTTGTTGCTCAAACAACTCAAAGGAAAGGGGTTTTTAAATCTTAAGTGGTTTTGGAGTGATAGTTGATCTTTAAAAGATGGGGATTCATCAGTGGTGTGATTCAGATTCAAACTGAGCAGCTATAGAGCAGCCTTTTGTGTTCCTCTTGGATCTCTTGGTTCTGTATGTGGGTACCTATATTTCTTAAAAGGAGCATAAAACCCTCTGAGCCTTGCTTGACTTTCAGGGATGGGATGGGCCGGGCCATGCTCTCTAAAGAGTGTATTAGGACTAATATGTTCTAGTAACAAAATGTACTAATCTTTTTTGTTTGTTTGTTTTGTTTTCCAGGATGGAGATGTGATTAGGAAGCCACCCTCCATGGATCTGGCAAGCAAGAAGTGCCAGCAGGTGTTGATGGAGCTGGAGGGAGTGCTCCACCACTTGGAAGTAATGTTTAGTTTGACACTGGTTCCTCGGGTTCTTATCCTACTTGGAGGCAATGTCATGAGCCCCAAGGAGCTCTATGAGCTCGATCTGGAGGGTATCTGTGAGGGCAGTGCTGAGGAGAGCCTGAAAACTGGATCCTGTGTTCGCAAGCTCTTTCACTCGCTCTTCGTTGCAGATGTCTTCAGTGAACTTAAGGCTCTCCCTGTCATGGGCACCGTTGTTATGCTCCAAGGACACCGCGATTGTGGTGTTGATTGGTTCCGGCCCAAGCTCAACTATAAAGTGCCAACCCGAGGGAGGAAACTAACTGTTACCTTGTCCTGTAATGGCGACATCAACATAAGTGCCTCGCCTCCTCAGCGTATGACTTCTACTTGGGAGGACTATGTCTGGTTTCAAGCACCAGTGACGCTCAAAGGCTTTCATGAATGACCTGTGCTCTGTAGAACTTTAATGGAATATTGAATAACCTTTGGTGCTGCTTTAGGTGATAATAATTTTATCAAATGTAACTGCATATTCTTGTCTGTCTGGATCTCTTCTCTGGGGCATCTATTGCCTTCCTGTAGCTGGACTGCGTTCATTTGTCTTCATCTCCTGAATTGTTGAAAGCAAATACCCTTTAAAGCACAATTGCACACACATACAGTGATTCTTTAGGGACATGACTTGTGGCACAGGAGATGAATTAGTGTGTTGGGAGTAAAACTTTCCTGCTGCATACTTGCTGAACTGGTGAATACTAGATACAGTCTTCTCTCTCCTGAGTTTTAATGTGGCCATTTCTCTGGTAATTGCTACATTACCTGATTGTTAGAGAGTCTACATAATGTACGCGATTATTAATACGCTCGGCCTTTACTATAAAGGCCATAACCATTCTTACATACCCTATTCCTGTAAAAGGCAATCTTTCCCTGCAGCCTGATTAGGCTTGAATACTCAAGTGTTTGCCCATCTAACTGATAAAATTAGACTTCATAACTTAATTTCAGTTACTTAATAATCCCAACAGTGGGACTTCTCAGCAATTGGGAGGTCTTGTACTGGTGATGAAGAGAAGTTGAGTGGTCCTGTGGAGGCAGGGAAGCACATCTTCCTATTTTTTTTTTAACTAACCTTTAGACCAACAGTCTTGACAATCAGTTTGATATAGTTAAAATTGAAAGTAAGCAATTTCTGCTCTGATCCTCTTCAGAGGAAGTTAGGACTCCTGCCCCAATAGGCTAGTTCATTCTCACTTAGCAAAAAACTAACTTTTGTTGTTTACTTTTACCTCTTAGAAGTCTTAGAGTCTTAGACTCTAAATGTTGCTGAAATGTGAAGAAGAGCTGAGGGGAGTGGGATCAAGTTCAGCGCTATATTTACCTATCGAACTCCTGTTCTAAGTCAGAATGTATTACCTGGAAGCAGAACTTGAGCCCTTTCTTCTAATAACACGTCTAGTGTGTAGTGTGGAATGGGGCACAGAGAGAAACACTTAGAGCACAGTGGATCAGAACTAGATACCTGCTGGAGTTATCTTCAGTCAGCTGGGTATGTATCTGTAATGTAATGAGCTTAATAGTTCTGAATAGCTCTATCCCATTTGAAGAGAAACTTGAGCCTACTGGTAGTGAGGTTGCTTGCAGTTTCTTGCTAGGGAAAATTGCATGATGGGGTGGTAAAAATCCTTTGAAAGGAGGGTAAAGGTTGAAGTAATCCTTTATGCTTGGTGCATATTTTAATTTTGACCTTTTGGAATAGAAATATTCTAGAACTAGGAGGAAATTAAGTTGATATTTTTTAGTTTGGAGAACACTAGTAGTGCTGTCTCTGCCTTATTATCCATTAACAACTGTTTACAATGTGTGGTAACTGCTAAAGCTAGCTCTAGGGGAAAAACTGCTAGAATGAAGAAAGCTGCCTTATGTGCAGCTGCCCACTTGAATATGTAATCGCAGGTCTCTTGAATGAAATATAACTTGAATGTAGGAGTGTTTGTACTCAGGAGATCAAAACCTTTTACACTTCCACCAAAGCTGCTTGTAATGCATATTTAAGAATGCTAGCGCTTAAGTATTTAAAGAAGCTTTTAAATGGAAGCCTTAGTTCTGAGGAACAAGGGGCCAGTTCCTTTCTACTCTCCTCCCCAAATGAGTGCAATGTTACTGCATTAAACTGTTTACATATTCTGTTATACTTGAACTATGAATGCAGCAATAGTATGGTGCCGGGAATAAAAGAAGACAAGATGCTTTTTTTTTCTTATGAAGAGCTTTAGAGCTTGATTAACAAGTTTAGTACTATAATCATTACCAAAATAAAATGCTGGCTTCTGTATGTGATTACATTGCATGTATTTAATCCCTCAAAGTAAAGGTTCTGCTGGTGGCAGGACAGCTTGCTTCCATTCTATGTATGTATCTAAACTGCAGGTTCACAGCTGTTCCACCTTTCTGACAAAGTGCATGATGTCTTGTGCCAGAAGCTTTGGTTCCTCAAAGGCAGCAAAATGTCCTCCGCGTGGCATGTAGGTGTATGTGATGATGTTTTTGAAGAGCTGCTTTGCCCAGGCACGTGGTGTATGTGCTATCTCCTGAGGAAAAGCTGCAATCCCTGTGGGAACGTACACTCCAACCCTAGAAGACATTAGTTAACTGTATTTTTGAAAGAAGTTATGGGGAAAGTCTATAAAAACCTTCTGACATGGTAACTGCCACAGTCAGCTGGAGAAGTTTTACCACAACAACCCATTTTGTGGTCTATAGTCTGCTGAAGACCTTTGCTTGTATTTGGATCTCCTTGAGTTTAGGAATGTTATACTCAAAGATGTATAAAGTTTGCACACAGTTCAATCTTGAAATGTTTCAGATTTTTAAGCTTACCTCGTTTTGTAGTTTTGTGATATGTGGCAAAATGTCACATATCTTCATGAAAGTCAGAAATGAGCTAGCTCACGTTTGCTTTAGAATTTATGGTACCAGTGTAACAATTACTCTGAAGAGGAAAGGTAAACTGGTTCAGTTTACAAAAAAAGACTCTGCTATTTGTTTGTATGATCAATCACTTGGAGAATTCTGCTCAGCAGCCTCTTCCTTGTCAGCCTCTCTTAGAGTCATAAAGCCAACGGCTGTTAGAAGGTACTTGGTTTCAAGTGCTGCTCTCCAAATTGCTTTCCCAAGTTTGTGCTTAACAGTTGTAGTTGTTAGTTTATCCTCCAAGTCATATCTTTCCTAATTCAGTTTAAACATCTCTCTTAAAAATGTTCATGACTTTGTTTTTACTGAACTGAGCCACAGGTTACATTTGTTTGGTGAGTAAGTATATAGACCTGTAGTTTAAATACAAAGAAGACTGAATATACTCATCTTGGCCACAAGCTATCTTGTGTGAATTATAAGTTCAAAAGAAAAGTGGCCATTAACTATATTTATCAAAATCAAATAAGAATTTTAGGGGTTTTTGAACTTGTTAAATTTCCTGTTGTAAATGATTGAAATGTTTATACAGGCAAATGTGGTTCAATCTCACTTGCAAATCTGTCTTGCACCTGCCACTTCATTACCTGGCATCAGCAGTTAGACCAGGGTCCTTGGAGATGTTCTCCTTGTAGAATCGCATTGAGGACACGATGGAGGATGTCACCCAGTAAATCATCACGTTGGTCAAAAGCTCATCAAGAGAGTATTTGCTGTTGAGAGAGAAAGATGAAGAAATTTCATTGGAAGCTGTTTCTCAATATGGTATATTGGGCTCACATCCTGAAGAAGAGTTGTTACTCTTGTTCTCTGCTTGTTTTTAAGCAGCAAATCAATCAGAACCGATGTGCCCAGAGCAAAACTGCCTGGTGCTGAAGCAGTCTGCTCTAAGTTTAAACTACTACTTGTCATGTGTAATCTTTAATCCTTAAAATTCAGCTTTGACTGGCTGGTCTTTTGTCTATCTCCTCATTAGTTCTCATCACTCATTCTTTTAATGGGTCTTCTCAAGGAAGAGCATCTGTTTTTCTTACCTTTCCAAGCCTCCATCATCTTTGTCCAGAAATGCTTTATCTGTCCAGGTAGAGAATTTCTCCAAAATATATGCAGCAAGCCCCACAGGGGAGTCATTCAGTCCGCAACCTAATTCAGGAGAAGAACAGGAGAGCTATTGCAGTTGCCTGGCTCTTTTGCAGTTGCCAGTACTTCAGTGGAAGTTAAACTGGACTTTCATGAATTCTTCAGTTTCCTATGAGAATTCAGTAGAGAGTCTCTATTTTACTAGCCCTGTCAGTACTTTATTGACAAATTTACCCCAGTGGAATTCCAGTGTAACTGACAGCACTACAAACTCAGGTAATTCCTATATAAAAGAAGCTAGGAGCTAAGAAAGTCCTGTTGGCTTCTTGGTAATGTGCTGTCCAAGGAGCAAATTCAGATGTAAAGGGATTACACTCTGAAAAATTTCTGGTAAACTGTTGGGGAGCACTGTCCTGCTTAGGATGGATAACCCAGACCCTGAGTGCTGTTCATCACTTTTTATCTAATTTAAGCAGTGGAGTGTTGTGTATCTGTTACCTGCTCCTGCCATTGAGGAATGCTAACAGGCATTATAAACACGGCAGATACACGGCATATTGTACCTGTGTTCTTACCTGTAAAACAGGGATAGGCATTACTTCAGCAGCCATAGGGGCTTGCCTTGGGAAAATTCTTGTACCATACCCTAGGCTGTAGTTTTACAGTATAGTCAGTATTGCCTACTCTCAGGTGTATTTTAGTGTGATTTTAGCACTGAGTAACTCTGTAGAAGATGCACAACATGGTCTCAATTTAATAGTGGACAATGCTAATGCAAAGTAGGTTTGTGTGTTGACACAACAGTTTCCCTGCACCAGCAGGCCTAGAGTGATTTGCTACAGACTGAAGTCATGTAGATGCTTTGACCAGCAATGGTAGAGCAAGCTAAAATGTGCCAGCTAACACATGACCTGGCTGGAGATGAATATTTTCTGGGCTGAAGGCTGCCTCTGAACCACTGTATTCAACATCCATGGATGAGATGCTCAGAAATACCAGACTTGTTTGCAGCTTATTAGTCATTCAACCTGTACCACATCTTAGGTAACACAACCTGTGGTGAGTGAAAATACTTTAGCTTTGCTTTAAACCTGCCTAATGACCACTACAGTGATAATGTAAGTATTTCTTGAGACTGAGTAGAGAATGCATTTTTTCTCTCCTATTCATTTTCTACATTTCACAATCTGAGTGTGCTACAAAATCCCTGCTCTTCTTTTTCCAGGTTGAAGAGTCCAAGACTATGTACAGTGCTTGTACAGAAGCTGCTCGGTCACTTCAGTCTTCCTTTTCCCCCCTTCCTGTATTATTCTGATTCTAAAATATATTTATGAAACAGGGTGAACAGGGGTGCAACAGATTTTGAATATAATGGATTTAGTGTTTTATCTT